TGTGTCTGTCTGTCTCTGTCTCTGTCTCTGTCTCTGTCTCTGTCTCTGTCTCTGTCTCTGTCTCTGTCTGTCTCTGTCTGTCTCCGTCTGTGTCTGTCTGTGTCTGTCTGTCCGTCAGTCCCTGTCTGCCTGCCTGCTTGTCTACGTACTTGCCTGCCTACCCACCACCGACGTTCCAGGCCTCGCCTGCCTACCTACCTACCTACCTACCTAGCTGCCTACCTACCTACCTACCTACCTACCTACCTACCTACCTAGCTACCTAGCTAGCTAGCTAGCTAGCTAGCTAGCTAGCTAGCTAGCTACTATACCTAGCTACCTACTATACCTACTATACCTGAAATACCTACTATACCTATTATACCTACTATACCTACTATACCTACCTACCTATCTACCTACCTACCTGGCTGGCTGGCTGGCTGGCTGGCTAGCTAGCTAGCTAGCTAGCTAGCTATTCGGACACCCCGAATGGCGGCTGGGCTTTTCTGATGCAAGCCTTAGCAGTGTTGTGGGTGTGGGCATGGACAAGACTCGCCCGAGCTGTGTGGTATACACGCCTTTCCAGGCCTCTTCCATCAACAAATCTGGATCCTGAAATCTTTGGTTACCATGCGTCAACCCCCGCAATCGAGTGGACATCCTTGCTTGAAGATACCTTGCAAACCCAACCATCCTGACGCACCTGGAACCCTGTGTTACACAAAGAGACTCAAAGCCGGATGTCAGAGGCTGAACTTGCGAGGTCCCCAGCTAAGACCCACGTAGGGTATACCTGCGTAGGGTCTTGCAGGCTTCTCAGAGTGTGAGTAGCGTGCTATTTGGGCCCAGCGGCAAGAGGATCTCATAGTCGTTTGCTTGTTGCGAAGGCCCTTTGCATCCGAGACCATCACGAATTGGTTGGACAACTCCCTTTCGGTGGCCCGGTGCTCAGTCAATCTGGAGAGTTGATCCGTGGAGAGCTAAATGTGATATACTGTTATATAAACCCATCCGATGGCATAGGTGAACGGAAAGAGGCCGGTTGAATGGCACAAGTCCTCCCGAAGCGTCACCCAGCCATCACACGGAGTCGCACAGCGGGGTCTACTCGAATCTAGTAAACCATTCTCTGCAGCTTCCGGTGCAGGGACGAACCATACAAAAGTCCAAAGCAGTCGAAGCCGGCAGCAAGCATCCGGACGAAGCCTTCAGCACTTTCCGGGTGAGTTGAGACCCGCAGTCTCTAACCGAGCCCTGTCCAACTGCATGAAAAAATGTCACTTACCCTCTCTGGAGCTTGCTGAGCCTAGGTGTCAGAGAGCTTCAACATGGTAACTGAAGCGTGAGACGGTATAGACTGGAAGACCTAAGCCAAAGGCCTGAGCTCTTGAATATCGAATCCCCGAACTTCTCTCGAAGAGTCTCCCGGATCACTGAAAGTCAGGCCCAGGCTCCGTAAGAGGCTCCAAAGCCCCGAAACACGGCGCTGCCTTGCAAACTCCCTTGAGATCTACATCACCTGGGCCTGTCGGCTCATTTTCCGAGCGATGCCCTGGCTTATGGACCGACTTGCAAGGGAGAGAGACGTTGTGCTTCGGAAGTGCATGATTTCAGGGTCCATCATCCCTTAACCCGAAACCCTTCAAGCAGCGAGGGTACTAGCAATGTCAAACTAATATATAGATTCAACCACCAGTTTTTAAAGGCCAAGTTCTCAACGATCGGAGTGCAAGTGGTCAACCCAAAAGGCAGCATGCAGCGTCGATTGATCCTGTAGGAAGCTGTAAGTTTGAGTCTGACTCCCTTACCTTACCGCACTCGGGGCCTGGAACTTCAGGAGTTGTGCAACTTCATCATGCCGTTTTCTTCTGCGGCTCGCATGTGCGCTGGCAGCAACAAAACACGACGTTGCTGTGCACCTGATGGTGCAGTCAGCAGCTTTGGGTTTCCCATGAACTGATTCTGGGCTCCATGCTGTGAGAAACCCCAGCATACCTTCCTCGATTCATGCGTGGCTTGGCCTTTCCGTGCGACCATCAGGTACATGCCATTCGGAAGCTCAGTGCGCATCACCATCTATGAGAAATGCTATGCCCTGACCCGCAGCTCCGACAGCAAGATCGGAAAATACGGAGTTGCAAATCGAGCCTGCGTCCAGCATCGTAGAAGTGATCGAAGAAATATCGTGTCACACAAATTTCTAGACTTCCTATACGCATGTATGTTGACGAGGGCACCACAATTCGCCACTTCGTTTGCCGAGGAAAGTTAATGGTTGCCAGCTTGTTTGCACTGTTTGCGCGCATGCTGCTCAACCTGCATCTTGGTGGCTATAGCCTTGCTTGGGTCAAGGGCGAGCTCACCAAACGAACAGATCCAAAGATAATCGCTAAGTTAATCTTGAATGTGAGTGCGTAAGTCGGAACCCCAGCAACCCAATGCCGGTAATTACACAAATCCCGGATTCTACGCCCATCCAAGTTCTCACTCAAGCCGAGATTGAAGAGTGGTCCTCGCGGCATGTAATCGAACGTTCCTACACCGCACAGCCCTGGTTCACAACCCTTGCAAGCCCTGTACCAACAACTCCAGGCAATCCATGCAATTATCAGGCATAGATTGGCATAGATCAGGGCCCAACTCCTGAACCTTGTTAGATCCGGTATCTTGTAGGGCGAGAGGTTTTGGAGGATTTGGACGTCTCCGTGTAGGTGGTCGATGTGAGCATAACGCCAGATTCGACAACCTTATATGCTCTATATCATACTGTAATAGTTACGATTTTTTTCTGTATTATAGAGTTCCTGAATAGGAGTATGCTCGAATCGGCTTTGCGGCCCGCTGACGAATCAGTATGTTTCGATTCAAGCAAGTAAGGAAAGATCCGAAGTTGCCGGTGGCGGACATTCCCGTAAATACCAAGGAAGCCGTGTGCCTCATTGGCAAGGGGCACCTTTGGGATTTCTGGGGCTCGGAATTGGATCTGGGCTGGGTGGACGCTGCAGGGCCTGTGTTCTGCAGCAGTGTCTCTCTCGTACAGTTAGTTCATGTGTTGATCGTCCTCCTCGCCGTAGCACGGATGCACGAGTGTGGGCTGTTGAATCCACTCAGGTTTTTCTAAATTTAGTGGCAGACTAAGAGAGAGTGTCAAAGAGCCTGCCTCCCCGAGCTTTGAGAGTCGACCCTTGACGCGGACGTTCTTCACGGCAAGCTTCTTCAGCAGCTGGCTGCCACCCCTCATTGGGTGGGAGTCCGATTCCCCAACTTCTCTGCAGCCCAACTGCCTAACTACAGACCCAAATGCTTCAAAATGTCAGACTGCAAACCCATGCATCCAAATCGAAGCCCCAAAGCTCAACCCTCGGACCTAGGCTGGGGGCTGCAGTCTTCCCTTGGAAGCCGCTTGTTTGGCTTCTTGCCATGCGCGTCCGCCCACGATTGCGGACCTCGAATATGCGGCTGCTTCTGGCACCTCTGCCTGCTAACGCAACGGTTCCGTGCTCGTAGCTGTTGCTTGGTTCGGAGCGTGGTCCAGACAGGACCTCCCTGCTCGGAAATGCGGGATGTGGGCACTTCCGCCAGGCAGACAAATGCCTTTCCTTTGCCATCTACATCAGCCTGATCTCCGCTTCTCGGAGGCAAGTCAGGAAGACATAACTCATAACTGATTAGCCACAAGTGCCGCATACAAGTCACAGTACTCGATGTTTGCTGCCTTCTCTTCTCTGCCAGATCTAAAGATCACATAAATGGCCCGGCGAATCAGAGTCCACGTCCGACAGGATAAGAGTCATGCGCAGGCAGAAGACGAACTTGCGCCTTGTAGTGCAGCGTGCTACGTGGCCAAAGCTCAAGCCCAAACCGCCTCCTGTAGAACTCTAAAACCTGCTAAACCTACGCCGAGGTACCGCTGCGGCTGATTAACATTCAGCTGCGCACGGTGCTGGCTGTCGGTGGTGTCGGCGGGCTTGCTGTCGGTCTGGCGCTGCAGAATCTGATTCAGAATCTCATCTCTGGGACGCCCGGCTTGGGATTTTCAAGGCTCGGAGCGAGAAAGAGGGTTCGAGGTTCAGGGGAGAACATGGGCCTCAGTCGTGATGATAGAGGTCGAGCGGTCCTCAAGTCGCGTGGCAAAAAAGGGGAAGTACATGGTGCAGGGTTTGCGGTCTATGTGGTACCGGGACTAGTTTTGGCGGGTGAGAGAATCGGGGCCTTACAGGGTTTATGGGCCATTTTACATTGAGCCGTACCGAGTGCGGACACTGGAGCCTTGAGTGCAGTTGCACGAAGAAGGATGTTTTTTTGAGTACCCATAGGCCCCATAGTAGGTCCTTTTGGGGGCTCATATATAGAATCCTATAAGGTAACCCCAAAAAGGAACTACTATGGGGCCTATGGGTAATGACAAGATCCGACACAATTGACGACAATTCTAATGCCGCCGTTTGCCAAAAGGTGGGGAGCCTGGTTGGCATGGCAGTTCCTATATAATATGGCAGAGGTCATGGCAGGCGGTTCATGGGCAGTCTTAAGCTTAAACCGAGGATATTGATCTATACCAACGCCACCATCTGCGAGGGCCTGGAGGTCGAATTGCAGGACGTGAAGCTTCAGGGCGTTGTTTCGGAAGCGCCTTGGCTGGCATTTTTGGTAAACTGTAAACTGACGAGCCTTCTTGAGAGAGTCGCCTGATCTGCGACAGGTCGGATGGTTCAACACCACCGTGAACGGCTACGAGGGGACGCGGGTGACTGTCCCAAACCGTCGGATTCTGGATGGCACTGTCATTGACAAGACCAACAAGCGCTTCCGCGTGTGCCAGAAGAAGATTGCCACATGGCGAAACCCGGGGCTGCACCTGGGGTGCATATCAATGCGACAACTGCGATTTAAGCCCAGATGTTAGCAACACAGCGGTCGTCGACGGCCTGATCACTGAAGCAGCTTCTTCACGGGTCTGCCTAAGTCATAAAGCCGGGACGAGAGAGCTTGCAGCACGTAGCGTAGATCAGCAAGAACTGAGCCTGCTCGTGATCCTTCAACTTTGCCTCGTGTTTGAGCAGTGCTTGGGTTACCTGAGAGAGAAAGAGAAGAATAAGCCAAAGCAGAGAGCAAGAGAGAGAGAACCTGTTTCAGAACATGCTGACCCCGCAGTTAGTACCTTGGCCAGGCCTTGGCTAGACTATCTCGAAGTCGCTCATTCTCCCGATTGCATTGACTCACCCCAATATCCCGTGCCCAGAGGTGATAACCTTCGACGATCCTTCGAAGTTAGATGCTCTTGCACGGCCCCCAGACGGTGCCAAGTCTTTCAGGTTGTGAAGTCCACAAATGGCAATGGGATGGTGCAAGAGATGAAGTTCTCCGGTGCGGACGTCTTGAGAAGTGCCACATCCATGTAAGCTGCGATGATGAATTCCATTGAGAGCCAGAAGTCGTCGCCATCGACACCGGTCGCAGTTCGTAGATGTTCGTAGTCTCCGGCATGACGCGGCCCGAAACAGAACCATGAGACGGGTGATGATCACGAAATTACCATTGCTTCGGAGGGTATGCTGGTGTCTTGGTACACAATTTGTCAGGTCTCACATGTTGGGTTCATGAGGGTTAAGGCTTGAGGCTGCATTTGTTTCAGATGCCGATCTGCAGGTTTATGCTGTCCAAGACGACCTCCGCAACAACCCATGCGTGTTGCAAAAGGCAGCCGCCCGGTCCTCAGTGCCATAAGTCAGCTTTTTTACGTTGTCACTCACGTCAAGTTTACCGATCAACGACAGACAAGAATGCACAGCTGAACGTTGTACTAGTGCCAAATAGAAGCAACTGCTGACAATCCACCAGGCAAAATTTTTTTGTTGTAGATTCAGTCAGATCCTGGGGGGCCCCTGCAGCGTAGCATAATAGTATGATTTCGTGTCACCTGGCTTGGTCAGAACTCAGAACCGTCTGACAGTTCAGCTGCCGCCCGTTCTTCTCTATGTGCGCCACAGCAGCACCGAATGAGAATATCATGTACTTGGGGCCGGAACAGCTGAGCGTGCAGAGCATGAGGTACTGACCCTGCGTTTTTCGAGAACAGCCCACCTGCTGCCCCTGAGGTGCTCAGAATTCGGACCGCCAACCGAGGCCTGATCCGCGTCATCTGTGAGATTTAGATGACGGAGTGCAACCGGCAGGCTGCCCTGATATTCACAAAGAAGCTTACAGGGCCTTCTAGGGCCAACAAGACCCAACATCTGAACTGACAGACAGGCCATGTCCGGCCCTGTCCGGCCCTGTCCGCGCAGAGTGGCATGTGGAACAGCACAAGCGCTATACGCCCTGTGCCAAAGCAACTATACAGACGCAGAGCTAACAAGCCCGGTAATTACAAGTTCGACATCACTGATCTCGATTGTGCTGCTGGTTGATTGCAGATGGGTTTCTGTTCTCTTCAAACTGGTTTGGCTGAGTCTGGACGGTCCGTGGCAAGATGCGCCCGCAGCCCACTATGCACCCAAATGACAAGTGCATCGGAGAAGTGTGAGATAAAACTCGCGCACAGCCATAGGACACGCCAACATGCAGAGTGCACTGTGTAAACAGTATATGCAGGTTGAATGATGCCAGCAGTCTGTCAGCATGTGGTTGTATGTTCTTGTGGATGCTATGGTGCAGTTTTTTGATCATGTTAAATTGCCTTCTAGTTGATCTTGCTAACTGTGTTGATCTTATTCTCCGGCGCCTGCCCCACTGTTTTCAGCATGTTGCTTGTGGCCGATGTGGACACTTGTGGACCACAGAATCACACGGGCGAAAACAACAGCTTAAAGGCCGTGCTGTTCCTTTGGTTGAGCCCACTGTCTTTAGAGCCCTTCATCCTAAATTCCAAGCCCGGACTCTCAGCCGTGAAGGCCACATCAAGGTTTACGAGCCGCAGTTCGTTTTCTCTGGATGGCCCGGCACCTAGTTCTCCTACGCACAAAACAACTAGGAAGCAGCGGTGGCGGCAGCAGCAGCATTCATAGCAGGTCACAGTAAGGCCTGAGATTTTGTGGACTGGAAGTCCTGCCGGGAGAACTCCATAAAGACCGTACGCTGCCTGCGACCGGGCACCCAAACGCTTGCCGCGTGCATGATACTGGATTCCAGGATTCTGACTCAGATTTGTCAAATCTTCTCCCCGATGTAGATTTACAATCACATCGCCCTTGACATAGCTAAGTGCAGTCGGTGCCTGACGAACCCATGAGGTATCACCTGATGTATCGTATCATGTAAGGCTTACGCACCGTACGGACCATGTGGGTTGAGACTAATCACATCATCATGCAACGACTTGGGATATTTGTGGTGTACTCCCTCCCCTCAGCGCGACCCAAGACTGAAAAGCAACCCGTGTCGCACCATCAAGCCTAAGTCGACAAGCGCCAAAGCACATAGCACACTCCATGCAGAAGCCTTATGCCTTAACGCTATCGTGGCTTTTCACACTCTTTTTCGGAGCCTTCTGACACGGGCCTGGTCCACTGCCGGGCAGAGCCTTTTGACAGACGCTTCTGTGACCGCGCATGGTCTAATGAAAGATTCGCACGGGCAGTCCCCGATGTCCACCAAATCCTTTCACTTTGAGCCTGACAAGAGCATCATCTGTCGTGAGCGAAGCCTGCTGTTGTCAACACCAAGAGTTATGTACAGCCGGGCAAGTAAATGTACTAGCTTGCTAGATTCCGTGCATGAGTGCCGCAGCAGGAGTTTTCGTAACCATCCTTGTGTAACTAACGTTGTCATGACCAAGGTAGTGCAAGGTAGAATCCACGGCATCGATCTCTGCCCCATCACTTGCAAGTTGTCTTCGTGATCGCAAGCACGAGCCACGGAAAGAAGCTCTAAACCCTAGGCCCTAAACCCTAAACCCCTAAACCCTAAACCCTAAACCGTACCTGAAAGCAAGGTCGGTGTATGGAGCTGAGTTCTATCTCCGTGCTTACTTCGAGAAGTCGCTCCAGGCCTGACCTTTCGAGTCTTGGGCTTTCTTTGGGATTCCGACAAAGTTACTGGGGTAGTTGTCAAAATTAGGGTCCCTTTTGGGGTACCCTAAATAATAGGTGCCGTATGATTCCGACAAACCCTAACCCTCCAGGTACCTACTATATAGGGTAATAGAGCCCCTAGGGCCCTGTATAGTAGGTACCTGGATGGTTAGGGAAAGTTGCTGTTAGGGTTTACGGTAGCCCAGATGCGAAAATGTTGATAGGTTGAGGGTGTGGGGGCAGCGATAAGAGCACGGAACAGTGAAGGACTAGAACCAGCTTGAACCCGAGAGTCACAGGTCACAGCACTGAGGCAACAAGAGCCCCAAGCCAAAGAACACGAGCATTCAGCATGTCCGGCAGTTCAAGCGACCACCGTCATGCTGACAGAGGGTCCAGGGCCGAAGGTGGCGAAAACAGAATGTCAAGAGCAGCATTTGCCATTCGTGCTTGTGCTGTTGTTCGATTCTTTGCTGGTGCCACCGTGCATTCCCACCCGGCTGCCGACACCATGTTCCATCAGCAGCCATAGCTACTCTTCCCCGCAACCTGAGCAGCACCCGCATTCCCTTTATCATGCTAAAGCTGCTACCAGGGCGATAAGTTCCTGAACCTGCAGAGCAAGCTCCTCATTGATGTGCGCCTCGGCCTGCAATGAGCAGACCAGAAGCTGGGGCACCCACGAGGTCAGAGCCCTTTCGTTCCTCCACCCGGTAGCAAGAAACGCACCTTCTCAACCGTACTCTGCTGGTTCATGGCCGACCTCAGCCATCAGAACAGGAAACCCTCTCCAGAGCACCGTGCACCCAGCGGCCGAGGGCTTCGCACCTTGCCGGCCTTGTGCGAGGGTGAGAGTCGAAACCCTTGGGGCTCAAGCTTTCCAAGCAGGTCTTTCATCGTTCCTTGCGCTGGTTCGCGGTCTCAGCCATGTCTCGCTTCGTGCTGCTGTTGCCTTCCGGGGGCCCTGCGCGAGGATGCAAAGTCCGCGGAGCACTTGGAACATGCTTTGCAGGACCTGGCGGTCTCCAAAGAGCCCGACACGGTGTATATATATATATATATATATCTATCTATCTATCTATCTATCCCAGTTCAGCCCGGGGGCGACGAGGAGATCGCTTTCATGCTGAGCTCGGGTTACCGTGAAGGCCCTGGAAGCGATAACCGCCTCCAGAGCCTTCACGTTAACCCGGGCTCGGCATTGCCAAAAATGCAAAAGGGCAAGCAACGGATTCTGAGACTGCTGCAGTTGACTACAACAAAATGGCTGAATGCATCGTCCTGTCCGCGGAGCTGAAATACCGTCACCGTGGCTGCTTTTGTGTGGCAATGGTGGGCACCGGGCAGATGGGCTCGAACTTGTTTGCAACATGCACAGGACCATCTCCCAAATGCCACCCGGATGGCCGAGCTCCTCTGATTCGAGGGTATGACAGCTGCAGCAGAAGCTTTAGAAGTGGCAGTGGTCGAAGGAGAATACTTCGAGAAACTGTGTATCTCTGCTTGTTTATAGTGCCGTGGCCATTCTATGGTTGAGACTTTCGGCGATTTCAGTGACCCGCTGCGCCGGTGAAGAAAAGCATGTCGGCGGTGGAGTGGAGCAACGTCTCCGAGGGAGGATTCTTTGGCTGGGGCCATGCGGGCGGTTACATGGTTTAGATTGGTTCTGGCCTGTAGTGTGGGTTGCCTGAAAGGTTCTATAGCATGACGGACATGTGTGGAGCCTTGCCTGCCTTGTGCGAGAGTGAGAGTGGCGAGTAGCCAAACAACACTTATGATTATGGCTGCGTCTCGGGACATGCATGTGTCTCACCTCCAAGCGGCTGAGAGCACCAAGAACCTCGCCTGGCTTGTCCGAGAGCGAGCGCCGAAACCCTAACCCCTAAGACTTTTGTCCCTCATGGACCTAGCCACGCGAGAGGCCACCTTGCAGGGATCCGTTCTAGTAACCCGAAACAGGAACCCGACCCATCGAGCGCGGCTTGGCCTTCAGTGGGTGCCGCTGTGTCAGGAGCCAGCGAATTCGAGAGTTCGGGGGGCGACCAGGTCGGTGGTGCGAGTTGGCATGAACCCTAAACCCTAACAGTATCACTCCGACCTGCGACTATGGATCCTCGCCTGGCTTGTCCGAGATGTGAGAGCATAAACCTGAAGGGTTTTGGGTTTATATAGACTGTAGACGTGGTATGAAGGATGCTGGCACGATCGAGCCCATCCTCTTCTTGGTTCGACTTTCCAGCATTGTGTACGCCTTGGATGTTTGGCTGTCGATTTCAGACTTGGTGACCCTTTTCCCAGATCCATCTCACTCATGGCCGTCGTGGCGACCTTCAACGATGTCGCAGTCAGCACTACAAGCGTTGTCATTGCCACGTGTGTTAGACAGCTTCATTTGTCCTTCCCGTTCACCGTGTTCTGGCCTTTGATGCTAAGCTACACTATCAACAAGAGTGCCAGCTTAAGCGCCCGCACCATCGTAGCCGTTATCAGAGTCACCATCATTATGACAGGCTTCGTTGACGGGCTTTGGACCTGGGCACTTCAACGGTTCATGCCAGGAAAAGCAGCAACATGACCCGGAGCATAACGTCTTTCGTTGTCAGTCGGCTGTTCACCTCACTCATCCTATCCTGCCTTGCTGAACCCGCCAGTGCTTGTTTCGTCCAGTCCCCGTGCCGGGAGTATCAAAAAACCACATCCATACGCAACGAGCCCACAAAACCCAACTCTTGGACCCTTCAAAACCCTAATTAACTCTAAAGTCTAAGCCCTAAAAGCCCCCTACCCTGAACCTCGGGCAGGCAGTCCGCTAACGCCCTTGGTCCCGGCTCCGACCCCGGCCCCTGCGGCTGCAGCGCCCAAGTACGACAGTGCAAAAAGCGACGTGAAAGGTTCACCTTATAAGGCTCTCTGACCACTCATGCCCGGGTTAGTGGCTCCAGCTTCAAGAATGGCTTCTACTAGTTAGAGCCTGGCAGGCAATGTGAGAATTGCTTTGTTTGGGTGTTTTTCGTTTCTGACGAACTTGGGCTGCCGATCTCAAATTGCAGCCTGATGGACTGTGCCTGCTGATGTTAAGGGGCATTTGGCCATTGACTATACTAGCTAACATCGTGCTGGAGGCCGCTGCAGCTGAAACATTTGTCGATAGAACCAAGCTGGACATGTGGGCAGGAGCTTTGAACAATTTGCCAGCGCGTGCCGTTGACATTTCAATGTATGATCGGGGGGCTACACGGTATATAAGAGACATGTTTAAGCTCAAGGTCAGCGGATTCTGCGGGTCTTCTCCGGATTGCTGTTGGCCTGACCAAGTCTCCCACACCGTCTGTACGACAAGCCCCCCCAGTCCAGTCCCTGAGCCATGAGCCCTATATCCTCCAAAGTGGACCCTCCTCGATTGTTTGTGCCAAGTTTGTGAGTTCTGAAGCCCAAACCCTTGCCTGGGGAGACACCGACTAACCTCTAAACATCCTAAACCCTAAACCCTGGGCTTGCGAGACCGTATCCTGAAGCCCAAAGCCCTGAGCCTGAGCAAAAAGGATCCGCAACAAAAGATCCTTTGAAGGATCCATGATCGCCCTTAACACGAAGCCCTTGAGCTCGTGTGTTTCTAGCGCATCTCGCAGGAGGCGGATCCGAGCCCGCAAGTTCTTGCCCGAAGGCCCATACTGGCCAACAAGGGCCTGATGGCCTAAGTATTGCCGTTGTTTTGGATATGATGTCGGGTTTCAGGATGTTTGGGCTGCGAGTTTTGAAGGCTTGTGGTATTGAGTGTCCTTAAGTTCAAGCAGGAATATAGAGCCTCGACAGAATTTAGCTCCTTTGCACCCCTGCATGTCTGTTTTCTGAGGTGTTCTGGCGGACCCCGGTACTATCCCCGCGCACTTTTGTGCCATCAAGGTTAGTGGTTGTTGTTGCTTAGGAACACCCAGAGTGTCCCGAGAAACAAACTCTGCTAAACTGGTACAATTTGGGAGTTTCTGAAAATAAGGGGTACCTTATTTTGGGGGTCCTTATAATAAGGGACCTATTATTTAGGGTACTATATTAGGGTCCCCTATTTTTGGAAACCCCCCATTTCAGGCAATCCCTCTCATGGCTTGCGAAGCAGCCCACCCGGAAGTCGGGGGCCGAAGAGCGCTTGTCAGAGCGAGGGTTGGTGTCTTCCACGAGTGATGATTCTACCCCTAAGGGTCCAAGTACCTAATAATCATGTACTCAAACAAATAGTAACCTACATAGCTACTATCCGAAACCGAAGTACCTGATTATTGGGTCCTTTGGACCCTTGGGGTACTGGTAGGAGCTTCCGGAACTTCCGGTGCTGCATAGTTGGGCTTATTATACACGAAGGGCACTGCAACGTTTAGTGCAAATGCAACAAAGCAGGGTTTCAGATACAGTGTTCAGACAATGGGCACTTGTTGTTAGCATTGTCACCGTTTTTGCACCTGCCACCTTTGCACAAGACATGGCATGTTAGTATTAATACGGCTCAGAAGACTGACTAGTGCCACGCGTGAAGATCAGTGCATACGAACCTCTTCAAGCAATTTAGAGCATTGGTCGAGACGGCTGGGAATCTTACCTTCAAGTAAAGTCGGTACTGTGTATAACTGTATAACGACGTAGTTGATGTATGTACTTGCTTCCACCATTTATAAAACACCCCGTAATAATGGGGACAATCCTTCCGAAATCATCTCTGCCCTTGAAAACCCAAATTTCATTAGGGGGTCCGGGCACGAGCAGGAGGAAGAGCAAGAGCAAGCGCAGCAGCAAAGGCAAGAACAAGAGCAGGAGCAAGAGCAAAAGAAAGAGCAAGAGCAGGAGTAAGATTAAGAGCACAAGAGGAAGAGCAGGAGCAGGAGCAAAAAACAGCGCGAGCAAGACACGTTCAAAGTGACAGTAGAGATAAAGCATACCCTAATAACTTAAAGTACTTTCCGAGGTTGTTTCTGGGAAGTGAGGGGGCGTTTAAAATTATAAGATGATTACTGAATGTGATGGAATGCACTGGGATTTAATGTTTTGTGTGTGCATGGATTTATCTATCACTATGCATCTACACTAAGTGTAGGCATACTTTCACCCCCTAGACTCCCAGACTTTAGTCCTAGGCACATGTAGTCAGTATGTGTGTGTGTGAATTTGTTGATGTTCCTATTCTTGAAAGTTTTTCTGGTGTATATACGTAACAGAATGGTATTCTGGTTAATTGTTTTTTTTTGTTCTCGCTCTCTCTCTCTCTCTCTCTCCCTGTTCTGTCTTGGGCTCCATGGGCCTTGGAGTTATGTCAGGAGTTGTGGGCCTGCTGGAGCCTGGTCCTCACAATCGAAGTATTGAACTTCCTGAGTTCTTCTCGTAGCGCAAGCAAGCAAAGCTTGAACGCATATCAGACTGTGACAAGAGCAAGAGGCACTGCAAAAGCCTGTCCTGTAACAGAGGTGTTGCAAATAGAATTGTTTCTATGACGCAGTACAGTATGCTATTTATGGACAGATAGCAAACAGCAACATTTTGTCAACCCTCTATACGAGGCTCAGGCTCAGCCCAGCTTGCTCTCCAGGCGTTTCGGTTCTGCGCGCTTCGCTCGGTGGAGCTGGACCGGGCCTTGGAAACTTTACTTGCGTCAAGACTCAAGACCGCAGAACTACTGTAGGGGCTTGGGTTTTTGGAGTTTGCCCAAAGAATCAGACAGAGTCGTTTAAGCTCAAATTATCTATGGACTTTAGAATGTTGAACCCTTTCAAAACGGGATATTTGGATTGCCTGGCTACAATAACTTAGGAGTTCAGGGTTGGCTTCGTTGCAGTGGCTACAGGATATGGCGGCGGTCTGGAGACTCCATGGTTTGCTGTTTGGGGTTCGATGCCCACGAGGTCTGAACAAGACAGCTTGTCTCACAACAAAGCCCTCAAAGAAAACCTAAACGGCGTCTATGCACCGGGGTCTCAGCTGGTAGTAGAGCACTTCTTTTCAGTTGAACCCTATCTGCCTCTACTCTTGCAGGGTTGTTTGTTACTTGTCATGAAGCTGCGTGATTTTGTTGGTTGGGGCCTTAGTCAGCCTTAGTCTCTGTTTAGTTTGGAAGTGGACGGGCTGTTCGGAAATAGTCAGACACGTGCGAGAGAGTCCAGCCCCCCAAAACGATGACGAAACCTATATACATATGTCCTATAGCCAGGTGGGAGGCAACACAAATATGTATATATATATATGTATGTATGTATGTATGTATGTATGTATGTATGTATGTATGTATGTGTGTATGTATGTATGTATGTAGGTATGTATGTATGTATGTATGTGTCTTTGGAACCGCCACGAACATTGCCTGGCCTGGCCGAGCGCGAGTGTTAAACATGTATGTGTGTGTATGTATATGTGTAGATATGTATATATGTATCTACAAGTCCGAAACTAAACCTAAAACCGTTGGCCTCTTTTGGACATCTGCAGGTTGGAGCCATGCGCCGGGCGCAAGATCCAACCAGGCGCCTTGCGAGTATGCAGGTAAGACTTTTGAGGGAGATTTACTGATTTCGAGAGGCACTTTCTAGTGACATTCATTCTGTTATACAGAAGCAAAAGATAATCTCCAATGATTTACAATTCTGTAAGGTCCTGTGCTTTCGGCAACTGCCACAGGAGGGCTCAAGGCTGTATGGTTATACAAGGGCAGGAGCCAGCTACACAGATATCTGGGCTTCAAAGCACGGTTTCCTGAACCCTGGGACAAATACGGGATGGGGATTTTATGATGGGACTTTTGCACTAATTGTGGATATTGCGTATGTTTGTGTTTGTATGCATATGTCTATATGCATATTTGTCCTGGTGTGCTTGGACCCGATATTTCTGGAAGCTGAGATGTGGCCAAGGGCAGGTCTACCCGCAGGAGACCGCAACTGTTTGGACTGATTCCAAGACTTGTGCCAAGTTTCACCTGCGTACCCTTCCGTGAATGGATGAAGCTGTCTATCGATGCAAGCGGGACAAGTTAGGTTATTACTAAGCTCCACTTACAGCACTGTTAGCTGGTTGGCAGCGTTCGAGCGGTTGGTTTGGACATATTTGGAGCCACGGTCCTGCTGACTCGCTGGGTTCCATCCGATCCGAACAGAACATGGGCACCAGCCTAAGCTCCAAGGCAGTCAGACCAAGCCCCTCAACAATGCAAGGAGTGACGAAGGCAATACCTGTTCTTGACAGCAGTGCACGAGGTAGATTGTTGTTGGTGGATGTGGCTCCTATGAACAAAGCCCCGAGCGCAGGACTTTATGAAAAACATCCGATGATGCCCCTTCCGCCCCTTTCAGGTGATGAGAACGGTCGACCTACCTCGATTACAGCCCAGGCAGCTGTTCGAAAGAGTTTCCGGTGCTTCTGATCTAGTGGTGATGGTGATGGTGCCTATGCCTCTCCTCTTTGAGAGTCTCATTGGGTTTGTTTCGTTCAGCTGAAGCATAGGAATGTCGATAGTTCGGAATCTCAGTCCGTGCCTGGATCACCCAGGCGGGATTTGGGGAGAGGGATATCGCTTTCAGTGCTGGTGCTGGTGGCTGGTACTTGGGGCGTACTTCATACTGCGACTCTGGGAGGGTTTCGGTTAGAGGCGATACTGCAGCACATTCAATGCTTGTTCTTGCGATTCTTGCGACACGGCAAGGCTGTGAACAAGGTATCGGAGGCATCGGTGCGTTGTAGACACACATCCCAGCAAAGCCACTGCTAGCTCGCACGCACCACACAGCACGTGGGGTGCTGTTCTAGGTCGAGTTTTCCGTTGGCAGGTCTATGATACATA